AGGACATTATGTTAAAAATTTTATCTGGGTTCAACTACCACTTCCATCACAGATTTCTATCCAATCTTGTACCAATATTCAAGAAGTAACAAGTCAATCAAAGCAAATCTTTTAAGGCAAAGCTATACTAATGGGTAGAGACAGCCCTGAGCTCACTCTGCATGTGCTAAGTCTAGATCTAGGAGGCCTGGAAGGAGCACTGGAGCTGGAGAGCTAACAAGGCATTTCAGGAATCTGAGTTTATTTGCCCTGGCCCATGCACAGAGCTGGTGAGCAGACTTAAGCCTGACTTATTTGGATGACAGCATTGTGAAAATAGCTGAGAAATCTGCACAATGTTCTGCTAAATGGTGTAAGCACATCCTTATTTTCTTTATGCACCAATGCTTCCAGCCCTGAGAGGGAGATAACTACCTCCTAGCTTTTCATCCGTTCCCTTTTGTCTATCCAGATGGCATTTCCTTTGAGACAAGGCTTCTCCCTGCGCTTGTACAGCACCCAGCACCATGAGACGTGTGCTGTGGTAACACAAACCTGATTTAGCTAAATAGACAACAAAACGTACCAGAAGTCCCCAAGGCCAATCGTATCTTTTTTGTGAGCCCCTATCTGTTCTGTTCATTACAAATGAAAAGCCAGAGGATATTATATAGGAAAATTATAGGGGGAAAAAAAAAAAACAAGTACAGGTGAAAATCCAACACATATTCATAATTGCCCTATTATTTAGTTGTTTGTAAACAGTCACAATGATCTTTCTTTCATGGTCTGTTGAGTGATAGGTGCCAAAGCAGATGCGATTTGGATTGTAAATATTTCCGGCAGAACTGACAGAGCTACAGAAATAATAAGCATTTCCGTGAAGCAAAGCAGGTCATCTTCTCCTTTAAAAATGATCAAGAATTCCAAGCCAAAGTATTTAAATGCTGACATACGAAAAGCTGATGCAGTGAGAACCTGCACAGAAGCAAACTGCTTCAGAGATTTTCTGCAGAAGCCTTTTACAACTGGAGCTAATCACCAAAGCACCAAAAGCACTGCGGAAGCGATCGGATTTAGAAACGTGTGTGATGAAAATTGGCAGGCAATTCGGTGAGAGGCGCTGCTAGCTTTGAAGCGGTCTAGTCTATAGGGGATTTCATTACCAGGTGCAAAAATATTAAAGATACCATTTGAAAAGCTGTTTTAAAAGATCTATACTTGCTGGATAGTGCCAAATAATCTGTTTCTATTAATAACAACTTCTGATACCATATGGTATCAAGAGAAACTATAAAGGTCTTTCAGAACCTTCAGAGGAAAGTAGCACAGACCTAAAGCAGTCCCTTTTTGCCCAGAGACACACTCCAGAAAAAAAACTCACTGTAAGCAAGACTATAAAGAGGGACCTACATTTAGGGAACAAGTATGCAGCTCCCCCTCCTTCTAAAACGGCAAGAAGTTATGCCCACTTTTCCTCCTCAGGACATTTTTTTTAAATGAGCCGCTAGCACATTATTCTCCAGCTTTCTCTGTCCCAGGCAGTAACAGTGCAGAGCAGGGCGCTGCAGGGGACCCCGTACTCGCCTCTGCTGCCTGCCGCCGTTCCCTTGCGGCGTGTATTGCCGGTAGCTGCAGGCAGGCATCCTTGGGAGACCTTGCAGGCAGGAAGCTGCTCGTAGTCCCACGCAAGGAAAGACTGGCGAACGCCAAGCAAGAGACCCTGCCTTCTCGAGCAGAAGAAGAGGAGGCAAATACAGCTCCAAGCCTTCGACCAAAAACATTAATTGCTCGCTCAACAATTACCTCATTACACGCAAACCGCTACGACCTTTTCAAATGGAAGTTTCTCTGTCCGCTGGTATCCCCTTCCAAGTCCTCTCGATAAATGCCAAGTTCCTGGATTGTGAAATTATTTGAGAAGCTAGTGGAAGGCGGTAAGAAACTAATTTCAATTCCACATTTCAGTAGCAGTTGTATCTCATTCAGCACAGAAACTACACATCCTATTTGTGCTCTGCTAAGGACTTAGCACACACCCATTAGGAATATATTTTAATTCCCATTGGTTTCAGGGATATATTACAGTATGTGAAGCTGAATAGATGGATGCCTGAATCCGACTGTGAAACTGTATTTACATGGTCGCTATGCAAAGTTAGTCCCTTTATCCACAGTACAAAAAAACCACCGCTACAGACAAACAGATCACCTCTCAGTCGGCAAGGACGCATCTTGCAGGTGAAAAAATTTCTACAAGCTCTGTCGACCACAAACAACATAAACAATTTCATATATCTGCTCAATCTAACACGGGGATAGTTTCACACCACCACTTAAGCCACCCACACAACCACTTTACAATCTCCACTCTCATTCATGCAAAATGCCTTCCCTTAACAGCCTCCCGCTGAATCGCGGTTCTGGGCTCTTCTGCTGAGGGTTTTTCTTTATGTTTCAAGCAATTCCTTGCTGTCAGTTGATGTGTTTGTTCTTCAGTTAAACTTTGCTTTCTCATGCCTGGTTCAGCCTCTTTATGATCCATCAGCATGATTTCCTCAGTCTGCTACGGCATCTCACTTTTACTGCTCTGTAGCTATTTGCATTCTAGCTGCCTTTCCTGTTTGCGGTGTCTCCTGACACACTGAATTCTTCACAATGCGTCTATCAATTGCACAGAATTTATATAGGGAACACAGCACAGGCACACATTTCTTGTTAGCCCAAAAAGCAATCGCTTGTGTACCTGTAGCCTTCACATGCAGACAGCAAGTAATCTAAGGGCTGTCTAAATCCCTGAGAAAGATATGACAATTTAAAAGTTTAAAAAACCTTCCAGCAGGCATGGAAAGGGAAGAACAAGAGGTATGTTTTAAAAATACTCAAAATGCGGGCAGTAATTGTAACGGTCATACAGGGATGACTTAACTACAATTTTCTAACCAACCCCCACTGTCGTATTGTGAATGCAGGACAGATGCACAGAAAGCAGGTCCTCTGTGGTCTTATTAATCTATTTGGTAATGTAAAACCATCAAGAAAACAGTCTTGTAGAAAGAGATCAGAGAGCAAAGCCGCAACTCTTTAGAGAAGCACGGAAGCCTGTACGTTGATACATTGTCTGCTGCAGCTTTATCTAGAGAATCATCTTGCAGAAAATGCTTCACTACGCATTGCTCACCACTACACATCTCAGTAATTTAAGACACTTTTCCAAGTAGGGGCTATCATTTTTGTCCTAGAGAACTATTTAGAAGTAAAGCTGATGCTTGCCAAATCTCGGGCTCCTGTTACAAAACTTGCAGCTACGGTTTCCTTCCATTAAACATCCAGAGTCGTATTCCTGAATAAAACTTCATCATATATTTGAAATGCAGTTCTATAAACGTCAAGATAACGGACCACAGGACAAGAGTCAGTTCCCTGGGACTAGGTCTGCCGCAGCCTCCCCCCTTCGCTGGCATGGGCCCTGGCCAGCTGCAAGATGTTCACGTAGACTTCGGCTTTCAGCGGTGCAATTCCGCTTCCTGCCTGCCAGGCACAATGTCAGTGAATTTGCTCTGTGACAGAAGTAGCCTTTATACTTATTTGTACTGTTATTTATTATTAAATATTTATGAATACTGTTTTTTCTTTTCAAAAAGGTCCTAAGATGTTACCCATAACTTCATTTTCTTTTCTACATTAAAAGTTAATCTTGTGGCCAGAAAATATATATCTCTTATGACAGACAGCCAACCTTAATGACAGCAGATCCCTGCCGCATATACTGGGGACCAGGAGGAAAAAAAGTGATTGTGAGACACATCATGCATTATGGAATCTTTTTTTTTTTTCTTTTTCCCTGAAGATGAGAAAAATCTCCATCATTTTTATTCTACAAAGGAAAGAAATCTACCATGGGACTGCTGAATAATCACAAACCTCAATGACAGTGAAAAAATATAATGAGAATAACCACAATACATTAAAAAAATGCTCTAAAATGCTAATACAGTTTCATGTTTTAGTTCTAGCAAGTCATTTGCAGGAAAATTCATGAGGTTATAAAGAACTTTGGGGTGGCGGAAAATCTGTTCAGGCTCTCCAGGAGCATTTATGCGACTTCCCATGTTTTGTCAAAATGACACAGTGATAAACGATGGTAGTTGCTCACAGCTAGAGTACTACGAGATGCTACTCTTTCGCTTTACAAGAGTTCGGGCAAACACACATACCATACAAAAGAGACAGACAGAGGCAGGAAGGCGGTAAAGGACACAGAGACGATAAATACAAACAACTGAAAACAATTTAGGGTCAAAGCAATTGTGTCATAACACTAATCTACCTTTCTCTCACTCAGTATCGTGTGTTCAGACTTGAACACCTCAGTCTACCAAAATCAATGAGAGCTAAGAAGGAGCAGCGTGGCGGCTGTATTTGCATGTGTTTAGGAATGAGGGATTCAAATTTGCCTGCTGGTCTCATTTGTATGATAGAGCCACCACTAGCTTAGTACATCCCATTCTCTGGGTTGCTGTAGAGCAAAACAAGGTGCAGTCAGACATTTCCTGTTTCAGAAAAAAAGTAATCTCTGCATTAGCTTCCTTTCTACTTCATTGTGAACGAGGACAAAGAAATGATTGGCATCTGTCAGATGACAGGCCAAGATGATTCATACTGAACGTCATATTCATTTTCCCATTACGAGAAATAATCAGATTCATTTTATGTGAAGTAAATCTCGCTGCTAGAAAAAAAATGATCCTTTAAGACTAAGTATTATGAACCTTTCATATTGCTTTGACTAGTTGAAAAGTTGTAGAGAGATATAATGTGTTGCTGTTCTGTGTCACTGCTCTCCAGGACTTGGAGCCTTGTGGCTTGCTGTCAGGTTTTGTTATCACATATATTTATACAAGATTTCACTAAATTAAGGATTTGAGTACGTTTTGCAGATATCATCCACCACACAAGGCACAAAGGGCAGACCCTTATTTCGTGTTCAGGGAAGTGACAGGAGAGAATTTAACTCCTACCTGCAACGTCTTGAGCCACGCTATTTCCGATGCCTTGAGGGACATTCAGTTCTCTGCCACCCCTGGAAACCAAAGGGCTCCTAGAGAGTCTCAGGGGCTCTGCCTGCCTTGGCAAATAGCGCAGCACAACAGGAGGAGATCTACAAAGCAAAACAATTAGTGGTATGGTCCATGCAAGCACCCACTTAATACATGTTTCAGGGATTTTACTCGAGTGTGATTCCAGGGATAGAAAGCCCATTAGCAGTTACAGTACATCTTCTGCCCTGTTTCATTCAAAAGCAGTCTACAGTTTATGCACTAGTAAACTTCTTTGCAACGCGAGCCAGAGCAGGGTAAGCGAGGACTACGGAAGGATCTTCTTCACAAGTGCATTCCTGATCCATTTTGGACTAGAACAAAACTAAACAACAAAAAAACCCGTGAACATGGTTGGCATAGTGCTGCCTGAGTTTCAGGTGGTGATCCCAGGGGAGGGGGTACAGAGCTTTGAGTCAGAAGCCGGGCTCCTTATCCAGGGCAAAGGTATGAACTAGGAGCCTCAGAATAAACTCTAGAAAAGCAATACGCAAAGGATGGAACGACCTAGAAACGGTCAACACACGTCTCTAAATCTAACAGTTTCTAGTGGTAACGGTGCTCCTTGTTCCCTAAATGGTGGCTGGGAGGGACATCTATTTTCAACTACTTTTCCTGTAGATGATTCCTACAACGGATGTGTCCAGGCACATTTTGCTCAGCTAAAAAGACTGTGCCCACTTAGACCTCTCTACGGGCCAAAGAATCACCTAGAATTTCATAAAAAGTGGAAAAGAAGTGGAAAATAGTTATTTCTTTCAAAGAAAGCAGTGCTGACTATTACCATACCAACAGTTGAGTATTACTTTACACCAAGCTTGTTCTGCAGGACATGGTTTGAGACTGCCTGCTGTCAGGTCCTACTGGCTCAGAGGTGTAAGGTAGAGGCACAGCTCCACAGCAGTTTAAGCCAATCTAAATCAAGGCTGCTGGGCCTTTCCCTTCCTGCCCTCCGAAACACACTTTGCCACTTCCGTTGTCCTAGAATTATCAGATTTGTGGTCAAATCCCTCTTCTCCCATCATATTTCTCAGGCTGTGAGAGACTATGGTCCCTGCACACGGCGTGTGAGGATGGGAAGGTACCGCTGGGATGAAGCAGAGTGCAAAATCACAGCAGTGATAACTGAGATCAAATTTGGGTCGTTACAGACCTGCATCCTCAACACTGACTAGTTCAGCCCTGTCTAGATAGAAGCACTTCAAGCCCCTGCAAAGCAGCAGAACGTCAAGAATCAAGGAGACCAAAGGAGCAAAACTACAGCACCTGTGAAATTTGGCCATTTCTACGCAGAGGGCTGGGGAAGCAAAGCATAAAAAAATCCAGTGGGATAAAAAAATCCCACTGTTGATGCAAAACGTCTCTCTCCCGCTGCTCCCTCCAGATCAGCCTTTCTGCTTCACTGTGATGGAAATCTACCAAGTCCAAATCCAGGCAGAGGATAAAGCTAACTTTGGTAAGCTTACTTCTCAGCAAAGCTAATTTGCTTTTTAATATATTATCATGAGATACCTTATGCACAGGGGTTCCCAAAGGTAAAAACTAACAACACGCCCTTCCCCTCCAGCTTTTTTGCTGTGAATGCAAGTGTCGTGTCTGCTAATAACAACACTGCGTCGGTCTCGAGGGTGAGGTTACCTGAGAAGCAGAGAAATGTTAGGCCCAAATGAATACCTTCAGAGCTGCCTGAAACTCTGATAAAGCAGACTGGATAAAATGTGTTTGCAATCCGGTGCTGTGCAAAGTGCCAGATACTTGCTCGCTTTCCGCTGTGATTTCCGCGGAGTACCGAGAATGCCGCCTCAGCAGAGCTGCTGGAGCGAAAGATCAGAAGTGACATAGTTCAAAGCAGCTGTTAACAGAAACATTTTTCTAATGAGCAATTTGGGCTCTTCTTCCCACAGATCAACAGAATAACTCTTGTATCCTTGTTTATTCAGGAGGACGACTGACACGATCACAGTGGTCGCTTCTGGCCTGACAAGCTAGGGCTCGACAGGAAGAGAGAGCTGACGCTGGTGGCTGACTTGCAAAAACTGCATCTAGAAAATGAGTTTTTCCTTCTGATACCTTTGAGCCGCTCTGGTATCATTTACGATGATGCTACCAGTGGGAGGGAAAAAAAGAAGAAGAAGAAGAAGAAGAAAAGCCAAGCAAGCCCAGGTTTAGCGCTCACAAAACCACAGTAGCAGCAAAAGCGGCGTTTTCCTAGACAGGGGTGTTACAGGGCCACATAAAATGGGAGCAGTCACTTGGCTCCTCAGGGGCAGTCCTGATTTTCCTCTTCTAAGTTTCTTTTTTTTTTTTTTTTTTTTTTTCTTTTTCTAAGCTGGAGCACATACTTTATCCAGGAGGTCTGAACAGAAAGAAAAAAAAACAATAAACCAACCAAACAGAGCAACCAAGCTCAAACAAAACAATTTCTGAGCTATTGAATTTTAGGTTTTCCTAATTTGAAAGACCATAAATCAATTCAAAGGATCTCTAATGGCCTACAGAGGTTTGGCTGACAAAACGTGCTGCCTCTCCTTACTTTAAAAGAAATTTGAATTTGCTAGTATGGTGAAGACAATTAAAACGCACAGCAGTCCTTTTCTAATAGCTTGTAAGAGACTTCAGTGGAATTGTTTGACTGTGAACTCTCCATTTCCCCTAAAACCCTCTCTCTCTCTTCACATCATTAAAATGTTTTGAGAAACCTTGAATAAATAATAAAGGGCTTTTTAACTGCATGTAGCTGAAATATAGGACAAACAAAAAAAATAATCTAAATTTTAGCAGGTAGAGCATCTCCAGATTTCCATAAGAAGTGATACAGATAATGCAAGTATTCATAAGCTTTTTATTGTCTAAGGCTGAAGAAATGGTGTCAGCATCTTGTTTATGCGGCTGATGAATCAAATGGAGCGCTTTGCTGGTTTTGTCTCTTTGCTAATTGCCCTTTAATGGAGACTACTTTATTGGTGTAAAAAAAATGCCTAGAAGTACATTTTCTAGGCAAAGCGCCCAGTGCTTTAATTAATACCTTGAAATCATCACTGATTAATGATACTGGTTTGGGGCTGTTGCACAAAGGTTTTTTGCTCGACTTTTCCTCATCTCAGGAAGATTAATGATGTTATCATTTGTACGAGAGGCTCCACCCTCTGCTAACACTTTGTGATGGAGAACACAAGCAACACTTAACAGCTGTTGCGGGATTACGAAGAAGTGGCAGGCATACCGCCCAGGGTGCCTTCAGGAGCAACCACCTCGTTATTAACGCCGTGAATCTTTCCTACAGACTTGGGGAAGATCATGATTTTTTTCCCCTCCTCTTCTACTAGCTGTATTTTGCATGAAATCGCCTTTTTTTCCTTGATGGGGAAGGCTGGAGAACAGATGTATTTAAAATGCCTCAAACCCCCAATTTATGTTAGTCAATACACTCTCTTCTTGAAGTCTGGAAGGAAGCTAATAAAACTAAAATCTATGCTAAGCACCGATCTGCGTGCATGGTTTAATGCTGTAGGAAATGGCATACTGCTAAACCCTTCGGGTGCGCTCGAATCCGCTCTGCGGGGCAGAGTCCTGTATCCAGTTACAAAATTATGCAAAAGTCAGGGTACGAGAGCTGCAAATAAGTCACAGGCAGTTCAGCTGATTATTACTTGTCAGCTGAGCTGCAGTAGCTGGCTGTCATCTCACCCCCTGTCGAACGTAAGAGACTGTTTAGTCCCTCAAGCCTGGAAAGGCAGGTTAAGGCAGCGGTTCCCCTAGCGATGAAGCGCACTGCTGGGCGTGCTGCAGGCAAGGCCCGGGTCCCGCCGGCTTCCTCTCCTCCCCTGAAGGAAGCAACGGCAGCAAGGCCAGGTCAAGCTCTTCTCTTACCTCTGAGCTGCACTAACATGCGATTCGTTGGAGCAAGGAGCTCCAGCTCCGACACGAGGCTTGGAGGAGACCCGGGGGAGAACGCGGGGTCAGCAGAGCAGGGCTGCTCCGCTGAGCACTGAACTGCTACAGCTTGATCGTGCTCCATCACACGCCCGGACCGCCAGACAAGCAAGGCTCAGGCTGCCTGCAGACTCACCAGAGGTTGCCCACGCTTTTCCAGAAAAGGTGTGTGGATTCCTATATGCCCACATATAGGAACGGCAAGGAAAGGATCGCTCTACAGCTTCTTGTACCTCCTCCCACCCCCTATACCTATTAGTTGCTGCTGTCATAAACACGTTACTGGGCGGGTGGGATCACTGGTGGAGCCAGAAGAGCCTCTCCTGTATGGAACTGATGTAAAAACCCTTCGTGTTTCCCTATTCAGCTGGCTCTACGGCCTCTTCAAAACCTGCTCTCCCACTTGTTACCTATCCAAACATCAACTACCGCATGCAGTTAAGCAACAGCTGGAAAGAGGAGGACACCCTTTCACTCTCTGTGTTCCTGTACAAACCCCGATGTCTGGCACAGACTGAAACAAATTCAGGATAAAGTCACTCTGAAAATCTCCTCCTGCGCCAAACACGCCAGGACAGGCTGGCTTCCAGCATCAGGCGCTGGGAGCGCGACAAGGGCGGAAGGAACTGGCGACAAACGGTGCCCTCTCTCAGCCGTAAGCAGAGACCAGCGCAGCCCGGCGCGGGCTCGCCAGCTGCCCGCCGCGCGCCCGGCTTCCCCAGCGCTGAGCTGTCTCCAAGCCCTAGGCAGCTCTCAAAAGCCTGCAGACACTTTCCAAGTGCTCACAGCTAGACGCCACAAGCAGAGTCTGTACCGAATGCTGCTGCCTTCTCCCCCTGCCACCGATTTCGCTATCAACTAGGGAAACTTCAGCATTTCACACGATAGGAGAGGTTTGATGCGCTGCAGTGTCCTGGGGCGTCAGTAACAGCTTATTCAATTATTAATAAACAAAATTAAAACATGCAGTAGCAACTATTGTTCCCTTGGGTGCCGGGACCAGAGGCATCTGCAGCGTTTACAGATTCCCCCTGTGTACAGCATGTCTGGATGCTGCAGTCCTGACACAGGCAAAGCTCCCACTGCTCAAAAAGCTTTTGGCTTAGCAAGGCCAAAGCAGCAGCCGCCAGTTGCCCAGCAGAAGCACTCGGTCTGGCCAAGCAGCTCGCTTGAATTTGCTGTCCCCTTGATAACCTGTGAG